GAGGGGTGTGGGGATTCAATAGGATTTGATTTGAACCCATTTTTAAAAAAATCTGTTCCAAAGCCTTTTTGGGTTCATTTTATCTACAGTGGGTTTGATTGGTTTTGCAAGTTTTTTTAATTACTTATGAGTTTGAAAACTTATTCAAGATTAAAAATGGTGAACCCGTTGGAGATGATGGTGGCAACTGTGTCTTATGAATGGTGAGTGTTGGAAAGATTTGTTCTATGTTGTTATGAAAAAAAAAGAAAAAAAAAAGAATTTAAAATACATGAATTTATGAAAAGAATATTAAAAATAAAATTTAAATATTTTTTTGGCGCTCACTCTCTCAGAGTGGGTGAAATACACTTACTTTGCCACACAATTATTTAGAAAGGTAATACTTCGAATTTAAATATTTTAGGAGGTGATAAGGTTTTCGTGAAGTTGAAGTGTGTAGTTGAAAATTTGACTATTTTCTCCCACATAGAGCAACCAGCCAAACAAGCTAATCATTGCACAATAGAAGTCATTAAGACTAAGTTGGTGTTTGAACATGTGATATCAAATTATGATTTCAAATCAATATTTGGACTATGATTTGGGATGATGATTCCAAATTCCAAATTCCAAATCTCAAATAAGCAAGATTTGGGATCCCGAATTGTGATTCAATTTTATTAAATGTAAAACTTGATCCATAAATTTATATATTGAAAAAAATAATCTAAACTATGTGTCAAGTTTAGGGATGTTTTCAATACTTCTCTCAAAATTATATATATTTAAAAATTTGTAATCACAAATATTTATTTATAAATGAAACATGGAGATGTGTGATTTATCAAAACGGTACTGTAGGATATTTCGATGTTTTCTTTATAAATTATTATTTGCTCATTCGCTAAAATTGTATAAGAATAGAGGAAATTTAATTTAATGATTTTCACAACTAGTTGGGGTTTTAATAGGATGAGAAAAAAATAACTTAAGAAATTCAAATTACATATCCAAACAAAACTTTATTTTCAAATTTAAAATTATGACTCAATATTGCATGTCCAAACGTTCCCTAAATAAAAAGTACAAACAAAACAAGTACCAATATAACATAATGGAAAAGTAAATTGATATCAAAGATTTGCATCGCGTATAAATATGAGAGTTTTGATGTCATCGTCACACTCAAATAGCTGCATATAGCTTTCCTTCAAGTCCAACTGCACACCAACTTCATAATGAATATCTGTATCATACAACCAAAACATTTGTATATCTTTCATACCAAAAAATAGTAAGGCTGGCTTTCCCAAACCAAAATCAGTATCATGAAAAGGGAAGTTGCACAAACTTGAACATAAAACTTTGTCAACTTCATCATTACCTCCCATTCTGGTGAACTATCACTTTCATTATATATATTAACCAATGTTGACACTATTTCATTTGGTGAAGCTTTGTTACATGAAGCAACGACTTTATTCACAGTATCCCTGATTAATATTATGAAGTGATGCAATTTCATTTGAGCCTTCCCTGGTATGAATTTTATTGGAACATCAATTCTAAAATTTCCCATAGAGTTGTTCACTTGACGTAAAGATGATTTAGAACGCAAATTCAAAGGAAAGTCCATTAGAGAAGGCCTGACATACCCATTTATGATTGCTGAAGAACCGATGAAAGCCCTCCAAAGGAGTGATGTAATAATTTCAACCCTTGACGGTTGAAAAGTCAAAGCTCCACATGCTTCATCAATGCATTTTTTTCTAAGCCTTGACATAGCAGCCTCACGAACAACGAATTTCTTAACAATAATATCTTGGTGTATACTTGGAATATAGGTTGACTTAAAAAGTCCTGATATCTCTCTTGTCGGGAAAATATTACCCAAATTAAAGCTTAAAAAATTAATCTTCTCAACAGGAGTTTCAAATCTACACACTTTTGCCCACTCAAAAAGAAATTTAAAGGTTGAGAAACCATCCATTGCAGGGTGTGAACCACTTAATGAGACTGCTAGGCCACCACATTCAAACTCGGTTACTTGTGCGGTTACAATTGGTGAAACCATTAAATTAGTTTGATCTATATTTTTGTTTACATGTGGCCAAAATAAAGATGCAAGACTAAGGTCCTTGCGTGTTTTCTCTAGGAAATTATCAAGCTTACAATTGACCTTGGCCTTAGTGTAGGAAACACCTTGATCAAGACAAAGAATCGAACATTCATCTTTATCGTACCTTCCTGCTGCTGGATAAACAT